GATAAAAAAAAACAGCACATAATCTTGCTGGTGGTGTCCTGTTAGAAACACGTCCAGTTCGGGTTATCCATTCCGCTCAGACGGTCCGCGATTGAGAATATTTCCATATATATCTAGATGTGAACCCCAATTATCTACGCCTTTCTAAACTTTCAAGCTTTTAAAAAAAACACTCTAACAACTACCCCAATCCAACTCCCTCTCATGAACAGAGATATGCATAACCGACTGGTCACGGTTGCACAGTTGGCAAGCCACACCCACCCGCCGTAACGTAACTTCCCTGTACCTTTTCTATAAATATTTTCCCATGGTAACTTTCCTGATGAACGTCCCTCATCGATACCATGATTTTGCGTCCACAAACGTCCTGAAGGGACACGACACATAGAAGAAGAAGAAGAAGAAGAAGAAGAAGAAGAACTAGATTCGCACCTAGGCCTCATACATTTAAGATTGAAATTGCTAGATTTAACCGTAAGTTCTATGTTAACAGTGTCTTCTCTCGCGCTTGTGGAGCTCTCTTCCGGCTCCTCGGTTTCCAGTCAAATTTTATCTTCGAAAATGTAAATGTAATGTCAATCGTCATCACCAGTATCCTTAATTACTGTTCTTTTATTGGCCTGTCTCTTTAATAATGTTTTTCTTGTTCTGATATTCTTTCACACACTCTAGCCACTTGCATTTTAATGGGCGGTTAGATTTGGTTGTTCTTAATTATTTTTATTATTATTAATTTTATTTAATTTAATACAAAATTGTTTTGTTAACGTAACTTTTCAATGATACTCTAATTGATTCATATGATTAACCCATGTGATGATTATATACAAAAAATACTCATTTTTTAAAAAATCAGATATAAAAAAACGTGGACAAATTGCGCCAAAAAATTTAAACTTTTACAATGCAATTATTTTTTTTTAAATGTTCAACTGTTGATCACGTGTCCAAGGATTTCTATTTTTTTAAGATTTTTAACATTTTTTACATTTTTTAGCATTTTTAGTTTGGGTTGGCAAAATAATCGACAAGCCAAGGTTACTATTCGTTCACATACGTCATCGTTCATGCCAGTTTTACGCAACTTATATTTTGTGCGTTTGAGAGTTGCTTGTTTCACTTCGTTATTTTAAGTGTTGTTTTCAGTTTCTTTTTTTTTTTAATCCCAAAAATTATTTCATAAACACATATATAAGACATATACGCATTCCTTTGGCAGTGTTGGAAAAATGAAATTTTCTTTTATCGAAATTTGTAAATCCTCATTTGACATTATAAAAAACAATTCCCTATCTTCATTGTCTGATCACCCATAGATTTTTCCATACGATAGATCCATGCGATGCTTATAATACTCATTGTCAAAACAAACATATATTTTTCCTTTTAGGATAAATTGAATTTTTTCTTTTTTTTTATGTTCGCCATTACTGTTATCTCCGAACTTGACGCGGTTTTTGTAAAGCAGTTGATTGAAAATTTGGTTTGAGTTTGTTTTTTTCTGTCCATCCGGGTCGGCTTGAACTTTTGAGTGGTACTTCTTGGGTATTCATTTTCTTGCAAAATTCTTCCATTTTTTTTTTTTTTTTTTTTTTTTTTTGGTACTTTAAAATCTTTTCTTTTTAATCGATCTATTTTTTTTATATTTTTAAATTATTTTTTTTAATGTTTTGCTTCCTGAATTCAGCCCATTCTTTTCAACGGAATTATTTTAAAGAATTTTCAAATCACATTTCGGAGTACGTACAAAAAAAAAGAAAACTTCGATGCAAATTTTGAATTTATTATTTTGCTTTATTTAATTGACATCATTTTTTTTATTTCCTAAACTGTGAAGAATCCGTTAAAATAGTTTAAAGACGTAATAAAATTTTCTCTTCGAAAAAAAAAATCAGTAGTATTTTTTATAACAAGACTTCATATTGATAAAAGGGTTCTTTTGTATGACATCTTACAGTAAAAAGATACTAAGCAAAAACAATAACATACAGCATTTCACGAATTAGAATCCTTATCTTTGAAGTCTTAACCCTTGATCTTCATATACTTTTCTCATACTAATATTACATGGTTATAATTTATTACGCTAGAATCGTAATCATGATCCAATTCATTAGACCTACAAATTGAAAAAGACTTTTGAATTTGTAGGTCTGAAGTATTGGATCGTGATTACGATTCCAACGTAATAATTTATAACCATGGAATATTAGTGTTTGAGCCTTTTATTATATTCTTACTCTGTCCTGGACATTTAGTTCTACCTAGATTGTATCCTCTTGGGTATTTATGCATATATATATATATATATATATATATATATATATATATATATATATATATATATATATATATATATGCTTGTTAGCGATGTAGGGATACAAACAGAGATTCTCCCTTTCGTGGAAAAAGTCACGAGGGGAACGTGACGACCGGCGAATAACATCAGGGGATAGAGTGAAGGAGAGTTGCGATTTAGAGCCCAGGGAAGGATGTTACTAGCTCACAGCGGTAGGACCTACAGAAAAAAAAATCTCTGGCCTCGGCAGGTACACAGAATAACCGCCGTAATTCGTGTTTTCAGCTCGGTAAATATTACAAGTAATGTTCTCCTCTTTTTTTACACACCGTTTGTCGTTGTATGTATGTTATAATTTCTCTGCATGGGTCATATATATATATATATATATATATATATATATATATATAAATTTGTGTTCGACGTGACATTATAAAACTCACTCACTCTCTCTCTCTCTCTCTCTTTCTTTCTTTCTCTCTCTCTCTGAGAACAAAGCATGTTTGTTATTCTTTTTCTCTACGTCTATTCCCTGAAGCAAGGTGTTTTTATATCTTGGATATAATAATGCTCATAATGGGGGAAATTCAAATGGAAGAATAAATCTTTCTTCCATAGCAACCTCCCAAATATAGTGGGATATAGAATAGTGCCCGGAGCCAAAGTACAGGCAATGGGACAAAGTTGAAACTCTGTTTAACGTCGAGTTTCGCCGACGTGTGTTAAGTTCGGCTTCTCCTCCAGTTTAGAATGATGTAAGAAAAATGCGTTGAGGTTTTTTTTTAGGAGAAAAGGGGCAATAAATTAAATTACCTTATCAGATCCGACGACCAGGGACCAGAAAGTGTTTATCTATTTGTTTGTTTTTCTCGACAAATAACCTAAAACGAGGACCATATATAATATCACCGATCATCGTAAAAGCAAGAATAGCACAAAAAAATAAATAAATTTACTAAATGTTTGATTTTCTTTTTTTAATTTTTCAAAGAGAAAACAAAATACATTTTAACGGCTACGTTACACAGCGTCGGTCGTTTTGTTTTTCACAGAAATTTTCTGGAGGTTATTAAATAGAATTGAAAAAAGCAGACGTTTGGTATAATGTATCATAGATACAAAGAAACAAAATACATTTTGTATTACGAGTTTTATCCTATATTACTAGTATTGCTTTCTGTCACAACGCAAGTTTGACATATACTTCCGACACTAAAGCAAACAGCGTAAAAACTGGAAATAAAAAATATAACCAAAGCAGTACTCAAACCTCGAACTTTGTTTTACGTTGTCTTAAGATTTTCGGCTATGGAAACTTCAATAATTATGCAGAAAAGAAATATGTAGTCACCCTAATTCTGTTCTCTAATTTTCCACGCCATTTTTGTTTTAACACCTAGCAGTTTTAAATTAAGAATTTCGTAATGAAAACAACAATTGAAAATAAGGTAAAAACAATGATAAAATAATATTAGTGAAAATGCTTCATCTAAAAGCAACAATAATAAGATGGAAAGAAATATGTTATAAATAAATAACCAAAATGATTCATTTAAGAGGCAACAATAATAGGATTTTGTAAAACTATTAATAATATAAGAATAGTCAAAATGCATCCTATAAAAGTAACAGTAAGACAGAGAATAAACTTATAATAATAATAATAATAATAATAATAATAATGAAAACTTTTAATAATGATAATAATAATAATGAAAATGATTCACATTATTCTAAGAATAGTCAAATTGCATCCTCTAAAAGCAACAGTAAGAAAGAGAAGAAACTTATAATAATAATAATAATAATAATAATAATAATAATTAATTAATTAATTATTAGGAAAATAAGATTGTGAAAACTTGTAATAAAATAATTATAATTAAGCTACTTCACCAAAACAAACAAAAATAAAATAGTAATATCAAAATATTTAATCTAGAAATAATAAGATAGGCTAAAATTCATAGTCAAATTACAAAATTAAAATGTTTCATTTAAAAGGCAATATTAAAGTGGAGTAAAACTAGTAATAAAATAATTTTGATAATCTTCTTCAAAAAAGCAACAATAAGCTGGAGAAGAATGAGTCATAAGATTATAACACTAAACATTATACATCTGAACACTAGACAGATTAAATTAGTTCTATATATAAAAAATAATGAAGTCTTCGCCTAAGAAGCAACAATAATAAGATGGCGTAAAACTCGTAATAAAATAATAATAATAATGATAATAATAATAAGAGTGAAAATTCTTCATATTAAATCATAAGATGGCGTCAAACGAGTCATATAATAATTACAGTGAAATGATTTCAGCCGAAAATTAACGAAAAATAAAAGCAAATACTTATTGACGGCGATATTTGCCATTAGCGAATGATTCATTTTTTTTCTTTATAATCTTTAATTTTGAAAAGAATGTTCAGCATTTATTCTATGCGGTATTTTAGCTTTTAGCTTCGTTCTTTCTTTCTGGTTTCCTCTTGCCAGGGCCGCATTTATAAAAATTCTCGTTAGTCTTCGTATTTCTTCGTACGTTTCCGATTCTCTTCTAAATATATCTGATAGCCTCAACGAACACTGGCACAATGCTACACTCAAGAAGCACCGAGTGAGATACGACCTCGAAAACAACAGCTTGCGAAACTGCCGCCGTTCTCTCACAAGGACTCCGCTCGCCATTTTACCCTTTAATTTAACTGCGTTATAGCTTTGTCTAATTCCAGATCTGACGAATTGAATGCCGGTAATGGTTTACTACTAAGTGGATCCTTAAGGTAAGTATTTGGTGACACCGATCCTTTGTAAGGGGTTGTTCGACTGAGGCTAGAAAAAAACGGCGACACTGGTTGCTCGAGTTTTGTGGTCGGCTGCGACTTCCAGTAGGCAGTTCCATCTCGACTAAGAATCGGAGCAGGCGGCATATGCCTTTCGACCATTACAGTGGTTGTGTGCCCTCCCGGTGCAATTGGACCAGGGATGCTATCTTCGTCAAAAGTTGTCTCGGCCGGAAAATATTTCTTGAAGTAGGAAGTGTCCATCAATTGTTCGGTGGTTGGAGTTTCGTTATCCAAAAACGGTTGCAAGGCGCTAGTCAGGCTGATCCGATTGGCCGGGTCGCGGTTAGATCCACTACCATCGTTTCGTCGCGGTAGACTAACGTACGAGTTGTTCATACCGCTATTTTGCCTAAGGCCAGGAGACGGCAACGCCCCGCCGGTGTGTGGCGTGGATGGCATCTGAGCAGCTACAGCGGCAGCGGCTTCTAACTGTTTGGCTTGTTGCTTAAGGAACTCTTCTTGTTTCTTCTGCTCTGATCGCTTGTGCCGTAAGGTGAAGCAGACAGAAATTAACGCGATAATAATCAAGACAAAGCCGATGGAACCAAGTATTATAGCATGATACGGGATTTCACTGCCTGAAAGAAAAAAGAAAAATATATCAGGAACCGCTTTAATACCGTAAATACACAACAAAATTTAGCCTCTAACCCAACTGTTACATTTCAGTTAATAAGGAATTAAATTTTTAATAGTATCAAAAATTTGATCACGTTATCACTTTTCAGCTTTGATAGAAATCAGAATCATTTACGCATTCTTTTGAGGAAATATTTATTTTCCACTCTACGGCCTCTTTACCCATACATATATATATATATAGTTACAACTTTATCCTGTCTTTCATAAGATTTAACGTTGGTAAGCGTTTTTGCTTGGTCTATATATGGTTTATACATTTTCTTAGTTTATACATACATACATACATACATATATATATATATATATATATATATATATATATATATATATATATATATATATATATCGGTAAAAATCCGTAGTATGTAATCCAGTTATATATCTTGAGATTCTCGACAAAATCCAAGGAAGGTTCGAACCTGATCTGGCATTTCGACTTTACTTACCTTACCTATGTGACATGTCTTCCCTCTAACTTTTCTATAACTAATTGTATGACAATTGTTCCAATGAGCTTCCCTTGTTCGTACATCGACTGCATTGAATTACGTGTAATACTAAATTAGTTATTAGGTCTAAATTAGTTATTAGGTCTAAATTAGTTATTAGGCCACATTTTTTTTTTACCATTGAAATAGCTAGATGTAGCCATAAGTTCTATTCTAATGGATTCTTTTCTCGCATTGCGCGACTTACAAAATCTGTTCTGCTTTTTTGCTTCTCTTCTACTTACGGTCTTCAAACTTTATATGCAAATATCAATGGCCATATTTTATGTTTCGGAAACGCGTTCTTTTATGGCCCTGTCTCCTGACTAAACCATCCAATTCTCTTTTACCGCCATTATCTCCCTGGCGTTTTAATGGTATTATATAGATAATTAGCAACGTATTATGTGATGTCTTCTCTTCAAAACATATTCGAATTTTGATATCATGACATGCAGGTATAGACTAAGGAATTTCCAGAATTTCTTGCTAGTTATTCCTGACTTTGATAAATATCCTGAAACGGACGCAACCGATGCGTTCAATTCTGGTGATCAGTCTCACTTCGACATCACTGACAGTAGATCAAGTTTTGTACTATTTTTTATTTATCAAGCGTAGCTCAGTTTCGGCATCGGGCCAAAGATATGCCTCCAACCCACACTTAGAATCTAACGTGTTAGTAATGATCTAAATGTTCACCTTGTTAATCCATTATGCCATCATGAAGTACATAATATTCGGTGCACGGAAGACTTACTACTTTTGGCAGTATTTTTTTTCAGTTTCCATGGAAATAACTTAACCCAGATATTTATGACTACAAATGCCTTTTCCATAAATCCTGAGCAAATATACGAGTTCTGATCAAGAAGTATCAGGACTGATGCTATAAAACGAAAACTACAACGTATATCAATTCTGCATTTAATCTCCTTCGAAGTAATCCCCTTTCTGAAGCCACACTTATTATCCAACGTTGTTTCCAGTCATGGAAGCATTCCTGGAACACCTTTTTTTGAGATAGCGAGCATCTGCTTCAACGCATTCTTATAGATTTTCTCTTTAACGTCAGCAACGCAGGGTCAAACCCTTCGTCCCGGACACCAAATAAAACCACCTGCCAACACGGTCACAACCTTGGTCATGGTCGCCAATTAATATAACGCCTTTTGGCCGCCGCCTGAACCTGGTGGTGTAATCACATTTAGTGATCAGATCCCCAGGGTCTTAGGACGACGTTTTAACCACGGGGCTAAATCTGCGCTGATTTGGGATGACGTGGTCCAAGCTGGTCGTTGCTCGCTGTTCGCTTCGATCCACACTAACTCTGTCCACGTTGTGTTCTTGATCTCAGAGCAGTAGAGGATCGGATGTCGTCGTAATAGCAGCTCTGGTTCAAGCCGTGGCGGGTGCTACATTAAGGAAGAAATATATCTTCAGGACAAAAAAATAAAACGAGAGATTCATGAGGTTAATATTCAGTTGGCTTATATAGCTCTTGGTACACAAAAATTAACCCTTTCTGCATCAATCTCTGTAGTGACATTAGGCCTTGTCTAAACTTCCGAAGGAGCTGGGTTCAAATTTCTTGAAATCAAGAAATCTGGTGGCAGCTAACGTAGATTCCAGAGGCTCTCGGTGCATGTTTTCAACCCAGGTACCTGAGCTCCCAAAGTCATCTGCTTATGTGTACTTCGGCCCAAAACTGTTGTGTGACCAAAGAGTTCTAGGGATTCGGTGATTCCTCAACGATCATATCATTCCCAATAAATGTTTTCTTTGTTCCTTATTTCTGTATTTTTAATCAACTTTCCAAATTTGGAGAATTATATACCCTCCTTGAAAGTATTTATAGGGGTTGCTCCTCCCTCAACTCCAACCTACCTCACTTCAAATCTCGCATCACCACTCCACATAGGCGGGCGAAATTCTGTCTCTTCCTCCTTCATTCTCGGTATTCTGACTCCTCCCGCTTCTCAGGGCTGGAATGACTTTCTTTGTGATAAATCTAATTTTTAAAGTGCGTAGGTGAAAGTGCGTAGTTTATTCTCCTCATTAATTTAAATTCTCTAACTCCCTTTCACTTCCGTACTATTACTCTTGTCCAGCGAGAACACAAACCAGACCACTGTTTCTCATTTGAATCTCCCAAGCTATAAATAAAAATCATTTCCCAATTTGTTTTCGTCAACGAAAATACTTTTTTTTGACCTAAATTCTCGACAAAGAGACACGCTGTTCTTCGTCTTAGCGAAAACATAAACCAGACAACTTTCCTGTTACGACAGGAACGATTTGAATAATCTCACAGCGAGATCATTCGCTGTTTACATTTCACAATTCGTTTTCGCCAACGAAAATATAATTTCCGTCTACTTCTCTTCTCGTCAATGAAATGTGTTTTTCTAATTTTCCAAAAAAGAGATTTCCTAATTTGCTTTATCCACATGTTAGATTTTCGGTCGATAAAAAAAGTAAACTCTTGGTGCCTCGTTCCGATTCGTAAGGGCGAGACAATCCAGATTGCACCTTTTTTTTCATTTTCCCATTACCAGGAAAAATTCTTCTTCTCTTTCTCTCTCTCTATCTTCCAGTTTATATTTCATTTTAGGCTTAACCCTTTTTCTGCTCAGAATTAACATTTAACGACTTCAGGGCTTCAGTGTCACATCTCGACGTCAAGAAATCTTTTACCTTTTAAGTGGGATTTGATTTTTGAAGCGGAAGAAAATGTTAAGCGGCAAGATCTGGGTAATATGGCAGTTAGTGGACCTGGGAAATGTCGACCTTGGCCCCAAAACTCCTGCACAAGCCATGGCCACTGAAGGAATCTCTGTGGCCTGGTGAGACGACCACACTCTACACACTTTCCTTCCAAGCACTGCTATAAACAACGAAAGTGAGCGACAACGTTATAACCTAGTGTGCACGCGCGAGAGAGTTCAAGGTTAGTCTGTGTCAAGTGACTTCATTCTCCGTTACGATTAACAACAGTCGCGATACTTTTTTATCAGTTCTCGTATATAGACCATACGTGTTAATTTGTGCTGATTGCAGGCAAATTGAATTTATATTTGAGTCAACTTAAAACGTGTAAACTTCAGGAATGTGCGCTTGAGCCATAATTTGTTTTCATTTGTGGATCCCAGTTGTAATGACAAATGCACCAGCCTAGCTGCTAAACCTGTATTCGGATACTAACATACATTAATCTTTGCACAGCACTGGCCGCGTACACAGTGGATTAATGGATAAATATTGTTCTCTTCCATGATCACGCAAGGCTCCTTGGAGCAAGAATAACACATGAAATAATTATGGCTAATGGTGGATCTTTTCTCCCATCATCCACCATAATTGTCTGGTGTTGTAACAACCGATTATTAGATTTTATGATTGCTGAGAAATGATTTACTGGATGAAAAATATCTGTAATTGAAAACCGGATTCAAGAGTTCGTCGTAAAGATCAAAACCTGCTGAATTCTATGGAAAAATGTATCGAAGAGGCGGTGTGATAAATGACCCCAAGTCATTGCAAATAATGAGGAATGTATAATTGAATAAAATTTAATTGTACTTCATTTTTTTTTTTTTTTAAGAAAAAAATTGATAAAATTATCGGAATTTATTCCTGACTGAAACTAATAAAAAAGAGTTAGACAAAAGAAGAAGTCATGCTAACATCACGAATTAAAAAAGAATGGAGAGTTACCGTTCTTTAGTCTTTTAGATTACTTACCAGCAGAGGAATCGCAGTTGTCCTCATCGGATTTATCGTAACAGTTTGGTTGACTGTTACATTTTAAAGAATTGGAAAGACAATGATTGTCACAAGAAAATTCTTCACTGTTGCATTTACCTGAAATAATAATGATGACAATAATAATAATAATAATAGTTAAAATTGACAACAACAGCAACAACAACAACAATAATAACCATAATAATACAGATTTAGACCTTGGTATCAACAAAAAAATTAAGGAAGTAGACCCAGATGATACATACAAATACTTAGGAATTAACGAAGAAAACCGAATACAACATTCAATTATAATGAAAAAGACCCGAAAAGAATACGATACGAGAATGCGTTTGATACCAAAAAGCGAACTAAATGTGGCCAATAAAATGAAGGCTATCAGCACCTTAGCTATACCCGTAGTAAAATGCAGCTTCAACATTATTAAGTGTAAGTTGAATGACACTAAATGATTGGACGTCAAGACCAGAAAAATACGCCAATGAGGATGCACCAAACGAAATCAGATGTTGATAGGCTGTATGTGTCAAGAGCTTTAGGAGGCCGAGGTCTAATCTAAATTGAACTAGCTCTAAAAACTACAACAATCAGATTGGAAGCAAACCTCACAAAAACCAATGACCCTCTTCTACAAATAGTAAAACACCAAATGCACTTCATCAACAAAGAAGCGGCACTCTTCAAGAAACAGCTTAGTATGCCTGAAACCCTACCAAGAAAACATGAAGCGAATACCATTTACGCCAAATAAGTAAACAGAAAGCAAAACAACTTTGCCAAATGAAAATTACAACAAAACTGGGAGCACAAGGAATTGCATGGCAAATGCCTAAAGAGAATGAAAGAAGCAGATGTAGACCAACAGAAAATACATCAATGGCTGAGGAGCACCGGGTTGAAAGCTGAGACAGAAGGTCTAATTATTGCAGCTCAGGACTAAAGCGCCGCAACCAGATCCTATCACTGTCACATAATCAAGGGTGGAACTAACCTGAAAAGATGAATATGCGGAAAATATGATGAAACTGTCGACCATATTATCTCAGGATGTCCGGAACGAGCAAAAAAAAATGAATATACCCAGAGACATAACAAGATAGTAACATATGTGCACTGGAAGATATGCAAGATGTACGAAATTGAAACCACTGTGAGATGGTATGAGCACCAAGCAGACACAATTACCGAAAATAGTGATGTAACTATCCTCTGGAATATGCCAATTCAAACTGACAGGGGAATAAAAGGCAATAGACCTGGTATTATCATAAAAGACAAGAAATTCAGGAAGTGTATTTTATTACCATAGCGGTAGCATCTGAATAAAACATCTCCATGAAAATATCAAGAAATACAAGGACCTGAGATCAAGATTAACAGGATGTGGGGAATGAAAATTAAGATTGTATCAATAGTAATCGGAGCTCTACGCCTCGTTAGTAAAAAAAATAGACAATTTTACTAATAGTGTCCCAGGTAACATCAAAATACAAGTTGCCCAGATGATCACCCTATTAGGAACATCCCATATACTAAGAAAATTCTTATCAATTAAATGGCAATTCTCCAATAGGGCCTAAGGACTATAATTTGGACCTGGCTCTACAGGGTACAAAGCAGGAAACATAACATACATAAATAATAATAATAATAATAATACACTGACAGATTACCTGGAACTGCCTGGAAGATCATTTTAAAAATATTTTGAAGATTTCTATATCCAACGTAGAAAATAATGAAGCCAAAATCTTTTCAAAAATCATCTAGAATACCGAGGAAGGTACTAAACTATCATGGAGGCTTGGTGTCACTTCACTTGATCTCCAACATTTTGAACTAGATATTCATTTTTTATGCCCCATGTTGCTTCAGGACATGGACGATAATGGCTCCTCATCTTTTCTAGTCTTTAGTTGCTAGAAGTAACATTTGATCATTAACACACACAGATAGATAGATAGATAGATAGATAGATAGATAGATAGATAGATAGATAGATAATCAGTGGTTACGTAGTGCAAGGTTAAAAGCTGAAACCAAAGGTTTTATTCTTGTACAGGACTGATGTTTGATAACTAGAAATTAACAAGTATCCAAACTGAAAAGTTGCGCTAACCCAAAATGCAGATCCTGTGATTAATAATATCCATATCAATTGACTTATTATTTATCAGGTTACACAGTGTTAGTACCTTCTGAATATAAAACTCGGCATGATAGAGTAGGCCAATATCTGCATTGAAAAATATGCAACTTTTACAGGAAGGACACTGCAAGAAACTGGTATGAACATCACCCAGATCCGGTTACAGAGATAACCTCAAGGACACATAGCCCAGTGGATAAAAACGTTGGTTAGATCCAGTGACTAGACCCAAATACCAATACCAGGCCAGTGATGAACCAAAACTTGGAGAGTTGAGTTAAAGGGCAATAACTCCGGAAGAGGCATGGGACGTGGAACTAGAATAAAAATTTCGATTTGAAATTGCAATCAATTGAAGAAGACCGGAGCGGAAAACGGTCGAAACGTTGTTAATATGGCAATGAAAATGTGTATAACAGTCTGAATAATGTAAATAATGCAAGCAATCTCAGGTTGTCCAAGTAAATAAAACGTAAAACAGATCCAAGTTAAACAACACATCCAAGTAGAGAGACCCAATCATTTCCAGGAAGATCTGATGAGGAGGGTGTTTATACATCTAGCAGGATTCAAAACAAGACCTGTCAAAGGGTGAATGAACCTTCTTGTAAGATCAATGGTCATCTAACACATTGGTGTTTACTGAGCTCAATAGCTATGTATGAAGCCAGTGTGGTGACAAAACGGCAACACTGGGCAGTGGTCTTCCTAGTCGGAAATGAAAGGCCAGGTCAGAGGGTTTCTCAATGCTAGCTTTCAAGTTGGAGATCATTGACTCTTTGACTAGATCTGACAGAAAGTATGGAATAAAAGGTTAAAAGTCAATCCGAGATTGATGGTGTACATTATATAATCCCCCAAATTTGGCTCTGCCCTCAGAATGAAATCGTTTTAGTCACCCTCCACAGCCGCATCTTTCACATTTTGGCCCGTGATCAATTAATGCCCATTTAATAGATTATAAAATGATTACAGACGGCATCCCTTGGGGAGTTGTTTAGAAATTAATTTTGCACAGACTTCGTGAAAGCCACGCCTACTCTTAATGACTGTACGTTTAAGAGCTGTAACTAATTTCCATATCATTTCCCACGTAGTTTTGTTTCTCTAACACGACTCGTTAATGTATTTGGTGGCCAGTGCAAATAACGTAAAATTTGAAATCTCCAGACACACATCGGGAACACGTGCTTCAGTGATGTCGCTTGCTTAAAATACACAGTGTGTCCATAAAGTTCGTGTGCACTTTAAAAATTTTATAACTTTATTTGTATTTGTGATAGAAATAATCTGTAAAAAAATGTTATAAAGTTTAATGTACCTAGTTTTAAGTATAGCTAAAATAACTAATGGCATTTCAGGCATTACTGTAAATCAGTTGGCAAATGTTTTCTGTAAAGTGCAAAATCGTATTACCCTTTGTATTGCTAATGATGGAGGACATGCGGAAACGTAATTAAAATTTCAATAAAATCTTTAAAAAATATAGACTTTCTTCTTTCTAATCCTTTTTACAAATTTTTTTCTATCGCAAATACAAATAAAGTTATAAATTTTTTAAAGTGCACACAAACTTTATGGAAACCATGTATTTCCAAATTTTTTAGCTGTTTCTTATAGCAGTCAACAAATTTACCAACCTGTTTTGGGAAGATAAATGTGCTGGAATTGAGTAAAACTTATAAAATTCTATTGTACGCACTTCTTTCTATCGCCCCTCTCTCTTTCTCTCTCACTCTCTCTCTCTCTCTCTCTCTCACACACACACACACACATACACGCGCACACAAATCCATCAATAACTTACCTACACATCGCATACACAAAGATACAAGCACACAAACGTGATGAATATACCCAACAGCACATGTTAAATCAGGACCGTTCTTTCTTTTCACCAGGCTTTAGACAAAGAATTTCTGCAGACCATGAAAGGAATTCTTGAAGGTATTTCCCCTCTCATATTTTCCTTTCCAGAAAGCCCTTTCTGCCTGTCACAACGCGGCACCCTCTCATGATCCTATTGGAAATTCCAATGGTCGCCGCAGATGTTCAACACGCCCAATAGACGTTCTGAGAAAGCATTTTCTGTCTATATCTCTGAGATAAAGTATTACAAACCAGTAATAGGGATTGTTAGAGAAAAGCAATGAATAAAAAGAAAATTTGCAATATAAGCTCTAGTAAAAAAAAAACGCAATAATAATAACAGAAAAATGGTAATATGAGCACTGGTAAAAATGGTTGCTGAGGCATTAGGTTTTTAAATCCCAAAAATTTATATCGAGCTAACCGCAAGAATATATGGCCGAGTGGATAAAGACGTCGGTAAGATCCAGTGACGAGAATGACTGTGAATTCAATCCCATGCATTGAGTAAAACAACAGTGGTGAATCAAAAACCTGGAGAGTTGAGTTAAAGGGAAATAACTGAGAGGTATGGCACGCGGAACTAGAACAATCTACCCCGGATGGACAAAATAAAGGATACGTTTCGAAATTCCAGTCACCTCAAAAAGGCCAGAGCGTACATCGGTGAATACGGTAGTGATGATAAGGATAACAGTCCAAATAATGCAAGTAATGTATTTTCCTTTATCTTCCATCCATACTATCTTGTTTCCAGTTGATTATCTCTCGAAAGCTTTAGAGGCTCCTGTGTGGGGCTATGTGAGCGAATAGACAAACTGATCTATTCTCAATGCAGACATGAAAACAAATACGTATTATCACAATTTATGTCAAACGGATAAAAATACCAAACAACACTACTATATAAACCACTATTGATCCTATGAACATGAAAAGAGAAACCACTGACACCATAGCACCATCAATTATTTTCTAGTTCAAACTACCATCATAACAATTATAATTATTGTTATTACCATTCCAGCACCATTACTACAATCACTTATACTACTTTATACCAACTATTTGCTGGTAT